GGACCGACGCGTGGAAATGTCCACCGCGAAACGGCTTCTGCGGGAGGTGGAACGACTGTGGCAGCGCGACAAGACGACCGCCTGTCTTCCCACGGTGCAGGCCAGCCTGATTCTGGGGCTGTTCTTTTGTGCATCCGGAAAAGACAAAATTGGCGTCGAGTATATCCAATATGGGGCCCGGATGGCATTGCATCTGGGACTGCACACAGCTGCGCCGCATCTCCCGAGCGGGTCAGAGACATCTCGAATCAAGTGGGCATGCAAGACCATCGCCAGTGCGGTCCACGACGTGCAAACGTGAGTTGTTAACAGACAGTATACGTAGCAGGTACTAATCCAACAGTCTGACTTTGCAACTAGCAAGGATCCCATCGGTCTGGCCAGGGCCACCGGAGCTGTTCTTATCCGAAGAGGAAGCGGCTGCAGCGGATCGGAACCAGCAGTGGGCGCCATATCCCTTCACCCACCCCGTCCACAAGCCCTTTTACTACACGGGTCTTTGCGTCCGACGAAGGCTCTTTATCATTGTCAACGACGTGGGGCATCTGTCTCGGCAGCTCAGTGGGCGGGTTGATTTGCAGGGCTGGCAGCAGGGAGCTGTCATGCACCAGAGACTGTTGCATTTCGAGCGCAATCTTCCTGCGGTGCTGGGGGTCCAGCGGAATCGGACGCCCCCTAATCTGTGTTTTCAGTCAGTAATCCTCCTCATTGTGATTGCGAAGAAATACTGACAAGACCAGCCTGTACTACCACATGACGGTCATCAGTCTCTGCGGACTCTTCGTATCCCGCGATAGCACGACCCCGACGGACGTGCTGGTGCAGACCACCAAGTTCGATCCTCAAAAGACGCTGGACGACGCGATGGACGCGATCGCCACGCTGATCTTGCTGTATCGCGTCTGTCACGGGTGGAAGTCGATTCCGTTGGTGATGGTGCACTATTTTGTGGTGGCCGGGGTGCACGCGGCGTCGCACCTGGAGTCGTCCAAATGGCGCGAGGTGCTGGTCAGCTGTGTGTCCGGGCTGTGGCACATGGGCCTGGTCTGGCGCGTGTCCCGGGCGTTTCTGCGGACGATTCAGCTGGTGCTTCAGAGTGCCGACGAGACGCTGATTCCGGCCGAAGCGGTGTCGATCTTGAAGGAGTTTGGCGAGAAGGTGTGGAACCAGAACGAGGTCAACTCCTTGGCTGCGAACTACGTGGTCCACCACCATCCGAGTCGAACCCTGGCGCTGGACCAGGGCACTAACTTTCAGGGGGCGGGGTTGGAGAAGCTGATTCGAGCTTTTGACCAGTTGAATACGGAGGATAGGTGAGGGAGGAAGCAAAAGAGAGGAGATGAGCCGGTCTGTACACGATGACTGTAAATACTGTTTTCTGTTACCTGCCATACACGACGCAGGCGCCATGAGAATACACGACTCGGGCGGTAAAATAATGCTTGATTCGTATATATATATATATATCCCTACCAGTCTATACCGCTACGAAACCTCAACCAGCTCATCTCCGACCCTCCGCGTCCACTCCATCCAACTGCCATCATACACCCTCCTCGTGCCTTTGGCCCCAACCAACCGCAACGCCAGATCCAGCGCCGCCGCCGTGACCCCCGAATTACACGTCAGGATATACTCCACCTCTCCATCCGCATTCTTCTCATCCAACGCCCCCGCATCCCGCAATACCGCCCTCAACTCGGCAGGCGACAAAATCGCCCCCTCCCCGTCATTCAACAACCTCGCCAACGGCACATTAACCGCCCCAGGCATATGTCCCGACCGCAAGCTCGGATCCATCTCCGCCTGCACGCCACGAAACCGCCCCGGTATCCTGGCATCCAGAATCCTAACCTTCTTCCCGTCTTGGCTCGCCCCAGAAACAACATCCCTAACTTCCTCGAACGAAATCACTCGCTGGGTATCAACCTCCCTTTCCTCCACAACATACCCTTCTCCCACCCCAACATCCCCCACCTCCACCCCCACCCCCCCAGTCCCCAAAGGCAACCCCAACCCAACATACCCCCTCAAATTATTCAAAACATGCACATCGCCATGTCTAAACAACTCACACATAAACGCCAATCTGGGAGCATGATACGTTCCTATCTCCTCTGCATCATAAACGACCAAGATATCAGATTTCCGGATCCCGAGGGCGGACATCCCGGCTGCAAACTGCGCGGGAGTGGGAAGCATAGATGGGTATGGAGACGGCGTGGCGATTTGGTCGAGGGGGAAGAATCTTTCATTTTTGTTAGCTTCGTTTCTTATGGATAGGGATAGATAGGAGTAGGGGGGTGGAGGTTGGGGTACTTTGAGCCCGGGAGGTGGTGGGATTCGAAGGAGGCGTGCAGGGTGCGGCGGTAGGCTGCTAGGGGGATTATTCGTCTGGAGGGAGGGGGCGTGAGTGTGGCATTGTGGTATTCGGTGGGGGTTATGAGGGGGGTGGTGAAGGGGTTCATTGTTGGGGATTGAGATTGCGGAGGATGGGGTGGTGGTGGTGAGGGGAAGTTTGGGGGGGCTGTTATCGGATAGTTGCATAGTGGATGCATGTGGGGGTGGTGGTGGTTAGTCAGCTGTGCAGTTGTGCATTGGGTTTGGGTGAGTGAAGATGACGGTTCCAGTCTAACTTACAACCTGCAATGGCTTGAAGTTCTATTGCATAGTTTGGGGGACTTTTGGTCACACAAGTTAGATGATTTGATGATCCTGAAACGTCGACAATCAGGGTCGACATCTCTCCTGCTACTTAATGGAACTATGCTGCTGGAAAATATACGTGTTGCCAACTCGTCCATATACAAGGAACAGCCGTAATCACAAATGCGGCGCATTCAACCCCATCAAGCACAATCCCCCAGCGATAACCCCCGCACACGGCACCGTGACCACCCACGCCAACAGGATCCCCCCCAACTGCCGCCAATTGACTGCCCCAATATCATAATTCATCAACGCCACCCCCGTCGCAGCGCCCGTCAGACACTGCGTCGTTGATACCGGCAATCCCAATCTCGAAGCCACCAGCACCGTCACCGCAGCCCCGAGCTCCACCGCAAACCCTCGTGTCGGCGTCATCCGCGTGATGCCATTCCCCAGCGTCCGCACTACATGGTACCCATACACCCAGAACCCCGCCCCGATCACCACGCCCGCAATCACCAGGAACCATACCGGCGTGTGAGTCTGCGTATCCACAGCCCCGGCACGGTAGGTGGCGTAGATCCCGGCCCAAGGGGCGACGGCATTAGCGACATCGTTGGATCCATGGGCGATGGACATGAGTATCGCCGCGAGGACAAGGCAGTATCTCCACAGGTATTCGACGCGGTCGTCGTATCGGTGTGCCCGGGCATGGATGGAACGGAGGTGGTCGGAGTGGGTGGTGAGAACGTCGCGAGTGACGCCTTGGAGGAGCAGGAATTTCGTCCAGGACCAGTATTTTCGTGGATGGAGCCAGGGGAGGTGCTGGGTTGGCGTGAGGAAGCGGTCTCTCGGGCTTGACTGTTCCGGTTTGGAGTGAATTGACTGGACATAGTTCTGGGCGCTTTCGAGATCGGACCCGTGTGATTGGTGGGTGTGTGCTGGGCCGCTATTGCTTTTTTCCACGGCTGTTTGTCCATTTTCATGAGAGCTTGGTACCGCCGGCCAGTACAGCAAGCAGTCGTCTCGGAGCAGCCATGGCCCCAACGGCAGATGATAGAATCGAACCCGGACATCTCCCTTGACAAGGACACGATGGAAGTAGGGAAGGAAGAAGACGGTCGCAACGATCAGACAGCCAACAAACACACCCAGGACGATGCCCGCTGCCTTGCCCGCCCCAAACGCCTCCGGGGATGAAGCAGTCGGCGCCGCAATCACAATAAACAAGGCAAGAATAGCCCCAGTGAACGCAAAGTACACTGGAATCAGACGCATGGCCCACTTGAAGGGATCGGCGCGCCCGAGAACGGTACACTTGACGGCACCGAAAATAAGAGCCGACAGGACACAAGAAACAAACGGGGCGACTCCCCACGAGGCCGCAATCTGAGAGACACTGCCATGGGTCCAGGTCCAGTCAACATGAGCCTGTGATGCAAATCCCACAGCCACCAGGGACGCGACCATGGTCTGTGTGGTTGACACCGGCCAGCCACGGCTCGTTGCAAACATCAGCCAGATTGCTCCGCCGACCTCGGCGCAGCCCATGGCCAGCATATATGCACCGGGGTGTCCGGCAAATCGGTCCACATCGATGATACTATTCTTGATGGTTTCGGTCACGGGCGCACCCAGGGCCACAGCACCGATGAACTCGGTCATGGCAGCGAGGATGCCGACATGCCACAGGCGGAGGGTCCGCGCAGCAACCGAAGTCGCATAGGAGTTGGCTACATCGTTGGCGCCGTTGCCAAAGGCGCAGAAGAAAAGGGCGATAGATGCCAGGGCCAGAATCCAGTCATATTTGGCGGTGTCGATGGGAAGCATGTTGCAGACAGGTCAATTGGTTGAGTGAGTGAGTGCCGAGAATCCCGACAAGGGAATGTATATAGTCTCCGACCCGAGTCAAAGTTAGTCGGTGGTCTAGACAGGCCGGCATCATATCTCTCAGCTGTGGCTGTTGTCGTCAGTGGTTGCTGCCTCGTGACTGGCGAGCGCCAACACTGGTAAACTATCTTTTGGAAAAGCAGGTTTGCGACCGAGTGTGCTGGATTGATTTGGTGGTTGTGGTCGGAATGCGGAGTCAGGTGTCGCTGTGGAGATACTCCAGTAGACTATGCTAGGAGGTTGACAATTCTCACAGACGTAGGAGGAGCACCGAAGCCAGGGAACGAGGATGCTAATTGAAGTAAGCTCAGGATGATGCAGCATGGCACGTGAACTGTCCGGTCCGCGGAGACAGTATAGATGAGATTCCTGTTGTGGAATTGCGAAAGTGAACGAGGCTGGCCTGCAAAGTCAAAGTAAACAAAAACCTTCCGAGGAGGGGGAAAGAAAAGCAAAAAGAAAGGTCATGCCCGGGATCGAACCGGGGTTGCCGGAAACTTTCGATTGCTCAAAATCCGGAGTGATAACCCCTACACTACATAACCGTGTTCTGATATTAAGTGCAATAATAATTTGGTATACATACCCTTTGGCATAACAAACCGAGAAAAATCAGCTGCGATCGGCCATGAAGCTCTGCATCCACCGCCGGATGTTTCACACGCATTGCGGACATGGCATCTTTGTCAGCGGACTTTCACCTAGCCGGAGTCTTACAAAGGGTCTGAGTCGATCTGCTGTCGGATTATCTACAGCATGTCTACACTGCCTGCGAAGAATCTGGTCAATGTCGCACTGACGACAACATTCGACCGGAACAAGCAGACCCTGCAGCAAACCGCTGATCCTTGACTGTTTGGGAAGCCGGACACCGTCTCCACCAATCCCGGGGCTCATCCGACGGTGACGATGCTATGGCTTCTGCAATCATGTCTTGCATCTACTAATAGTATGTATCGAGTATGGCAACTGGAGGTGACTGGCATCAAGACTGCTGTGGCCGCCGCGACTCCACTCACTGTCGATCACTCCAATGACGTACCCAACAGCTATTCAGCCAGCTCACAGCGTGCATCTATGCCAAGATGTGGGCCTGGCAGTGATGTAATTCTATCGGGCACCAAGTTCTGCGTGGTTTCTAGATAGACCTTCAACATCATTGTCGCAAATGACAAGATATATATATTCCGTCCTCGGTGATGTCCGTATTCACCTCAATCCCAATTGCAGCTCGGGACACGCCTTTTATTCACTATGAAGTCCCTCAGTGTCCTGAACACTTTCTTCACAGCAACCGCATCCTATCAGTTCAACCCTCTGCACCACCTCACCGGCATCGCGCCCTACTTCACTCCCCATGATCCCATCAACCCAAGCCCCCCGGCAGGCTGCAATGTCACCCGGGCAGCCTATCTCGTCCGCCATGCCGCTATCTACGCCAACGACTTTGACTACGAGACGTACATCGAGCCTTTTGTCGAGAAGCTGCACAACACGACCCAAAACTGGGCTGGAACCGACTCGCTTTCCTTCCTCACCAACTGGACCGCGCCCATCAGCGACGACCACCTCGAGAAGCTCACGCGCGTCGGCCTCCAGGAAGCAACATCCCTAGGGGGGCAATTCCGCCAGCGATATCCTGACTTGCACACCAAGAAAGTCTGGGCTGCGACGGCCGAACGAGCGACCAAATCCGCCCAGGGCTTCATAACCGGCTACACCAACAACCAAACCCACCTGGACCTAGTCAGCGTCGCAGAGAGCGACACCACCGGCGCCGACTCCCTCACCCCATACAAGTCCTGCCCCGCATACAGCTCCAGCTACGGCAGCTCCTACGAAGAGGTACCACCACCCCAACCCTCCCACCCACTCGACTAACTCCACCAGACCTTCATAAACCACTACACAACGCCCACAACCACCCGCCTCAACCTCCTGGCCCCAACCTTCAACTTCACCTCGTCCGACATAACCGCCATGTTCGAGCTCTGCGGCTACGAGACCGTAATCCGAGGCTCGTCACCTTTCTGCTCGCCCACCCTCTTCACCAGCTCCGAGTGGCTCTCCTTCGAATACGCCAACGACATCATGTACTTTCACAACACGGGGTATGGACGCCCTTTATCCCCAGTCTTAGGCTTCCCCTGGGTGAACGCCAGCTACTCTCTACTCTCAGCCAATACCACCGACCAAGACATTTACGTCTCGTTCACGCACCGCGAAGTCCCTCCCACGATCGTCACCGCCCTAGGACTATTCAATAACAGCGCATACTCTGGAGCAAACAACGTCAACGAAACCATGCCGACGGACGAAGTGAACTACAACCGGGCCTGGAAAAGTAGTAATATCCTGCCGTTTTTGGGCAATATTGGGATGGAGAGGATGGAGTGTGGTGATGGTACGGGGTTTGCGGAGGGAGTGTATTACCGGGTGCTGGTCAATGAGGCTGTTAAGCCGGTGCCTGGGTGTAGGGATGGGCCGGGGGAGAGTTGCAGCGGGGATAGGTTTGGGGAGTTTATGAAGGGGAGGGAAGAAATGTTTGGGGATTTTGGGACTGGGTGTGGGAATTCTTCTGCTGTGGGGGGGTTGAGTATTTATGATGGTTGAGTCGGAGGTTTACATAGTAGATGTGATATACTTGTAATGATATCCTGTGTATACCTTCTCTGACGGATTGAACCAACTTCATCAACAAGAGTTGCTCATAGTAACATCCACAACCATTCCCAAACCCACAAAATCTATCCATCCTTACAGTACCCATCCCATCCCAACCCAACTCCTCACACACCCCGAGAAACAATATTACTACCCACTCCCCCCCCTCTCTTCATACCTATAACATGAATAAGCATCCCACAAAAAAACCACACCACCAACCATCCCCTAAAACAGCATTCCACAACAACAACAACAACAACAACAACAACAACAACAAAAGCACCACCAATAATTATCCCCACACCCCATTCATACACTTCTCAGGAATAGTATCATATCCTATCATCCCCACACCCATGAATATGGGGATCTTCTGGTAGAAACTTTCGCCATGTGCCACAGGCCATGGGGTATGGGGTATGAATTCAATGCACGACCGCCTATCTCCGAAATAACTCCACCTCCAACGTACCTCCAATTCGAGTCAACATCGTACCGTTCTCAATCACCGATATCATCCCCCTTCCCCCGCCCCGGAACAGAACGGGAGGGATTTTGTTTTTTGCATACACGCATCCAAGACAAGGCAAGGAAGGAAGGAAGAATACGAATCAGCAACGAGGTTCGTGAGATGGATGGGTGGATGGATATGAGGGTGTGTGCTGTTTGGAGTCGTCGTCGTCATATCAATACCAATTTCCATTTACATGGGCATGTACATTTCCAGGTGTAGGTACAGGTGGAAGTAGAAATATAAGTAAAAGTGGAAGTATAGGTACAAGATCTGTTATTCAGTCCAACCTCTGTGTAATCTGTGAACAAATCCCCTGCCCTGCCCTATCAACCCCCCCCCCCCCTTCCCAGCACTACTCTACCCTCCCGACCAGTCAAGTCAGTGTGTGTGTACACCCATGCAGTTCAGCCATCCTAACATAGCACATATACCCCTCCCCGGGCATGTTTGATTCAATAACTCCCACCACCAGAACCATCACTCGATCCACACGGCTGGCACTAGCAGCAACCCAGCCAGGCCCTCACGCCATCGAATATATCATACATCCTGGATAATCACAAGTCTTATCTCTGTCAGTGATGCCCTCCATCTCAATCCACCGTAATTCGATTAATTACAGATTGGAGAATAAATCGCAGAGGATAGGTAGGTTGGAGAGGTAATTAAGTGACTTTTCTCCGGGGAGTAACTCCGTAAAACTTCCAGTTTGGTTTGGTTTGGGTGGTGAGTGAGTGAGTGAGTGAGTGAAGCCCCCAATAAGGTAATGTAGACGGGGAAGAACATAATGTGGTATTTCTTCTCGTGTTTTTTTCTTTCTTTAAGGGGATTGTTTTGGGTGATGATGGTGAGGGGGTGGGATGGGATGGGATGGGATGTTAATGGATGTGGATGTGGGGTGTACAATTCCTCAGTAGTAGGGAGAATAACCCCACCCCAGATGAGAGAGAAGAGAAGAGAAGGCGGTAGGTAGATAACTTTCCACGGGAAATGGAGATGATCTGTCTGCTGTGTGGACCATCAAGGAGGCAATGCAAAGCCAGACAAGGTAAGTAGGTTGCAATAAATAAAGAGTATGTATGCTATAACACACACTCATCCGTCGTTGGAGTGTTGGCAGTACCACCTTGTATTTTTTAGTCTGGACCTTTCGATGATAATTCCACGGGGCTGACAATAGCCACAGGCTATGAGGAGGATAGACCCGGACGCTATTGTTCGGCAGTTCGTGGCATTCATTCATCCATCACTGAAGATGAAGTGCGTGATGTGTATCCTAGACTTCTATGTGGATGGATGTTCGAGGATACAAGGAAAGGGTGGTTGAGATGAATTGTATATGTTGGACATCATCTGCCAATACCTTGTAGTTGGTCTGTACCCTTCACCTTTTTTTAATGGATGATGTTCCATTGTATAGTTCAAGGAGTCCACAATGTGCTCGATCCAGATATGCAGCTTCCAACACGGTGGCAGATGTGAACGACAGGCAGAGGAAAAAGTGAGCGTGGGTACAGAATCCGAGCTGACCACCATGTTTCATCGTCGCATTGTTCAAATAGACCTAGGTCTCCGAGTTCAAAACAGCCCAGAATGTGCTTGATCCAGAGATATGGGTGCATCCCATCCAACTCCACCCTGCCGCAAAGATTGAGAAAAACATCCTGAGAAGAGGAGAGAAGTGCCCGTAGCGAAGGGGTTCGAAGTCCACCATATCGAATAACCCAATACCCGTGGAACATACAAACTTGGTTCCGTGCCCGTGAGAAGGATAGCAGCTGGTTCGCGGACTATCCGACATTTTCCAATGGCAGAGTTGATTGACACGGGCCGGTCAGAAAGTCGGAAGTGATGGATGAATTTCGTCGATCTGATGAAAATAAAGGTTGGGATTTGTTATGGACTGGGATGTTTGAACGTTGGTCTTTGTGGTCGAGGTGTGAAGTACCTGGTCATATGGAACAGGTTCAGGGATTGATATCAAGGAAGAAAGAACGGAGTCGTCAGTCAGCGCGCTCGGAGCGAGCAGGCTGCAAAATGTGTCCCTGGGATATTTGACCCATGACCTGGTGGTATGAAGCGAGCTGAACAGCAGAGAAAAGACTGATTCTCTTGTAGAGTAGATCCCATCGTTGGTTTTGATGTATCCACATGAGCAGTATTGACCGGATGTTATCACGAAACATGTTTCTAATCCTGAAATGCAGACCCTGCAGCGAGGGTGAAGCACATGGGTGATAGCCCGAGTGAAATGCGCTGAGCCGAGCATTTCCAGGAGGATCAGTGTCCCAGGTCGAGCAGAACCCGTTATAACACTTGAGCTGTAATAGTTCTGCTCAGTCCTGCAACCCTCGCTGCATTAGC